AAGTTGGAAAGCACTGAAGATACCCTCTTAAGCTATCTCAGACAACTGAAGCCAAACAACTCAAGTCCAAGTAAACAAATTGAACATCAAATGAGTCCCTTCATCCAGTAGGAAGGGACAGCATATTCAGAGCTATTGTATCCTGAATCCACTAAGGAATCGCTTGTGGTTGTGACCTAATGCCTGTAGGACTATTAAACCTTTTCATCATCATAACGGAATAAAGCGGAAACAATGAGAAAGAAAAGCCAACCCGCTGAGGCTTCTATTTGCAGTAGCTCTCGTCACACTCAAATGTGTTGGCCATACGTCATCGAAGCGGCATGCACTCTTTCGAATTATATAGAAAAAATTAATTATATAAAATGTAAAGGGCACAGGGAAGATATTGAGATAGCGAGGAGGGCTGCCATTGAATGAAAGCTCCTATCATAGACTTGGTAAAGCTAAACGTTTCAGCTAAAGTGTCCCCGAATGTTGCGACTAGATAAACAGCCCAGACCGAAGTTGACGCGAGACGGACGTATGTCTTTACAAGAAGGAACAAGACGCTGCCCAGAGATCGTATTTCCAAGACACGTGCGTCCCTTGTAGTGATGACTTGGGGAACGGGGTGTACGGGGAACGGGTTGGACTTTGAGGAGGCGGCGGGCGAGGTCTAAAGAATGCTGTTGAGTCCGTTTACTAGTCAACAAGTGGTTGCTCAGATGACGCGTGTCAAATTACCCCTTGCAACCGAAACCCACCCTAATGAAGCCGAATCACGCTGCAACGTTAGCAGTAGCTAAGCAGACCCATCCAAGATTAGGTCACCCACAGCTTGATGTTTCATTCCGATCCAATTGTATTCGAACTCCACTATGGGGTAGGAAGCCTCCTGAAGGTTTATTTTGCCTTATTCAGCCTTTGAAGAAATCACTTGCAGTACGACTTAGTGCTTGAGTTGTCATTCGATCTTGTTTCATCCCTATTTTTGATTAATGAGGGCACGCTTTCAAGAGATTCTTGTACTCTATAGTAGGATGCCCTGATATCCGAGAATGACGAAAACCCCGAGTAATTGCATTCTGCTATAATAGGCTATCATCTGCTCTCCCACATACATCAGACGCCCTAATCCGTACGGAGGGGTAGAGTAGTGAAGGATAAGACGAGCGAGTCGCGGGGGAGAGCTTGTCGATGACCAGACCAGCTCCTGCATGAAAGAGCATCTCTATCGAACAAAAACTTTTCAGTAATCGTTTATCAAAGTATGAAGTCAAACGATCAGAGGTTCACTGCCAAAGGCTGGGCTGGATGTCGTATCCTCCCAGACGATCGTTGAGCTGATTGCTGACCCTGTGGGATGAGGGCTTCAGTGATGTAGGTTAGTACATACTGAGCCAGGATTCATTTTCATGACCATACATTACAAAATTAGAGGAATTCCCATGATGACCATATTGGCCCACACTATTCTCCACAGAAAAAAAGAAAGTAAAGATGATGTGAACAAGGAGAAAACGCTTTTTTTCGGGTGATCAAGCGGCACGGAAGGAAGTCCAAACTGCCACTTTGAATAATTCTACGAGAGGATTGCGCCTGACGTAGTTTATCAAATTCTTGAAAACTCCTCTTGCAGAAACATTCTTGGAATGGAACAGAGCCGTTGGCAAGATTCCTTTGACCATAGATGGAAACTTGATAAAAAGGTTTCACGTGTTTCCACTTCAACGGAAAGACGTCAGCAGACGTTCCCATTGTTCCATTTTTAAGCACAAAGAATGTTCTTCTGAGCATCTACCTCGAACACGAGAAAAACTTCGAAGTACCAGTGAAACTAAAGGGGTGTTCCAAGGGGAACTCCTAGAGCAGCATTTTTGGCAATGTTCTGGCGGGTATCAAAAAATTATTATAAAACGGCATTTTTGCTTTGGCATAAGATTCCAAAAATTACTTCGAGATCCATCCATCAATGCCACGATATCACAGAATGCTGACCAGACTGAGGATCATCGTCTGGACCTTCTTGCTTCTGCAAATAAATACCCGGCATATATTCCGATGGGCTTGAGAGGCTGAATCTGAGCTCTTAGGGAAGTACGTGTCGTCTATGAGAAGAGCAGGCCATCTTGATGATGACCACGTAAAGACGATAAACCAGGAGGTTATGCGCCATACATGTGGGTAATGTCCTTATTTGGTAGAAACATATAAAACAAAAAAGCAATTCAGTTTATCGTGTGGGAAGAAGTTCACTCCATTCCTTATAAATATTACGATTCACTATGTACTAAAAAAATACATTCAAGCAGATTAATGGCAGTCTGTTTATACAACAAAAAGGCGTTAGAGCAGGCACTGACCATGATTACATTTATTTTGCATGTAAACTTGTAATGTAAGCACTGTCAAGAATATATTTCAGATTAAGAGTCGATATGATCGTTTCGAAACGATCGTCGAAGTATGAAGTGAGATCAGGAATATGTGCCATTGACGACTTTGTACAGGCAACCACAATATTGTACTGAAATGAATACATATGGTGATCCAATTTCAAAAGAAAAAAAGAAAAAAAAGGTGAGTCAGATTTTCTCGTGAAATAGTTTCTTTTTTCATTTTCACCATAATTTTCTATTCAGTTTCTGGCAACTTATTACATATACTAATTCCTCAAATTACTACTCCTTCCTCATTACTCAGGAATCAATAAATATGAGTCTTTCTGAGTGACAACTGTGTTTTTTTACTTTATTTTATTTTGCCTTTATTTTTATTATTTAATTACCCACGGACGCGAACTGATGGCGTTTGGCGCTCTATCGCTTACATGGCCGACGATAATTTTCAAATCAATACTCGCCCGGGTCACCCTGGCCTTTCACCCCTTCGCGTTCGTTTGGTTAGTACCAGACTCGTCTGGGATAGGGGCGCTGGCCACCACTACAAGTCGGTGTGTGGAATATATAGACACCCAAAATGCCTATGGGTTTCGAGAAGAGGTAGAATGGAAAGCGCATTCTGAAAACGGGTTGCTATCTGAGTAAGGAAGTCTTGGTTCAGAAGAAGTTGGTCCCCTTATGACATAGTATCGAGAAACAGTGAAGGACGATACAGAAAGGAATCCAAGAATTATGCCTCGCTACACTTTTTGTTTGTTCATGAAAATCCATAAGCCTGCTGGATGGGGGTATCCGAGCTCCTCCCTAGTTTAAGGAATTGATGAACGCCGTACATGTAGGCGAGCGTTGTGGTGGGTCCTCAGGTAATATTGCATCAAAACATTATGTATGCGAATATACAAAATAGACCATTGTAATTTCAATAACACTCCATTATAAAAACATATCCTTCCCAGACTTACAATGTCACGGAGGGTTATATGTAGACACACCGGGAAGAGGGATTTGACCGTTTGGAGAAACTGCAACAAAGTTTTTTGAAAAAAAAAAGAATGAGTAAAAAGTTAACAAAATACCGAATCTTGATTTGATTCTACATTTTTTGACCGTAAAAATGGCAAAAAAATTCTGGCCATAGGATACCACCCTATTAAGGTAGGCGAAAGCACCCAGTGTGGAGATAAACCTCCCATTTTCAGGAATCAAGTTTTTCCCAAAATTCCGTTGAATGGTGATAAATTAGAATCGGATGAAGACATCGTTGAAGAAATCAGTTTAATACCTTGTAGCAACCTTCATAAAGAGGTACCGTCTCCGTCGCGAATCCCAAGGATAGCCTCCTTGGCAATACAGGGTGTGCTGGTGTTTGCGGGAACTCGCAGCTGGGGAGCTCGATGACTCCTTATAGTCTATAGTGATCGCGTGGGCGAAACTACTTTTACGACTCGCACTGGGTAACCCGTCTTTGCCCCTGGACTGGTCCACTTATTTTCTCAGCAGCAGCTTCGCAGGGCCTCGATACATAGAACCATCAATTATTATTTCAAATTTTTCCTTAGCACAATCTTCGGATGGGTCGACGATCGACGATGGAGGTCCAGCGCGGGTCACCCAGTCTCAATATTTGTCACTGCCCGTGTTTTGCTAGGGGGTGTAGGGGGGGGGGAGGGAACGAATAAAGGCTAGCTGAACGTAGCAATCTCCACAATCTCTCAGTGTGGGAGCAGATAAAGAAAGATTACAGGTGTTGGATCATTAACAAAAATTACCTTTCTCCATTTGTAGTTGCCGATTTCCGTGAGGTTCCCCGATGCAATGTTCACAACTAGTGACCCTAAACAGCTCTAAAAACAGTTTCCAACTTCTCTCTTGTTGTAACCTCAGCATTTCCCTTTTTCGTTATTGAATTTCTTCTGCACTTTGAGGTTTGCAGGTAAAATTTTTTATTAAATAAACGTCAATAACGAAAAAGCTCTAAAAATGTTTCGAAACTGTATTATTATGTAATTCTGACCACACCTGTTCCCGTCAGTATTTTTTGGATTTTTTCCAGAAGTTTTGGGTCTTGAAAGGGTTCACAAGGACATATTATTGGCGAGAAGTATGAACCGCATGCGTCGATAGCCACAACATCAAATTTTCTGCCTAGGCACGTGAAAACATCGAATACCTTTCATTGTCTGGTAAAAGTTATTTCATTAACAAATTGGAAGGCTAGGCGCTCTGTTTTGTACCGCCGTAAATGGACCTGAATTTTCAGTGGCGCATTCATAGTCCACGATTCGGCCCGCGAGCGAGCGAGCGATCGAGCGATTGGGACAGCGCTTGCCCGCGGTATCGACTAAGATTCAGTTATAAACAAGGGCCAAGCGCCGCTCCAATGCTCGATCGCTCGCTCGCGGGCCAAATCGTGGACTATAAAAGCAGCAATTATTTCAAGACAACTGAACAAAAGGATTTATGATATGCTTTGAGCCCCTCCAGCTATGAGAGTCTACTAGACTACATAGATTTAATGGAGACGTTGCTGGCTTCTGTGAATCGATGATCAACTGGACGACAGGGAATGCATATAATTACTCTCATTGTTAGATTTTTCGATGAAGAAATCAAATACTACGAGGGCTTGCGAAAGTTGAGCTCACACATCCAAAAAAATTCGGCACCTTGATTATATGCTTGCTCTATAAACTCTTTTCCATCCTGCACAACTGTATGGTGAGTTTCCGAATTGACCACTCCAAACCATTTGTACGCTAACTTCACCACTACTGGTTCTATTTCAACAGCAGTGATATTAACCTGAAATGAAATTTCACAGAATATGAGGTCAGCTTGAAAGAGGATTCCTACGAAGTCCTCAATTATATGAAGATTTAGTAGCACCCAGCTTTGTAATAATAAAATGAAACCATGATAAAAGTATCAATTCTTACATGAGGTTTCATTTTATGTAGTCCCATATCGAAACCTCCACCGCCCAGTCCTATCTCGAGTACTTGCTTACCCATGCCCATTTCTTCTAGAGGAAGTGATTGCAGGAGAAACGTTGCGGCGATCATCGAGGCCACCTGAACATTACGCCGTCCAAAGTCAAGCCAAGGGTTGTTGTAGTAAAGTTAAGACAATTGTTAAAATGCTATCTAGCCATGCAGGAGATTCGAAAGGCCATTACAGTACATAGCAGTGATGGAATTGACACTTACGTGAGAGCTCGTGAAAGTATTGTGATCAACCGGCCATTTTTGGATGTCAGAACATCGATATCTCCCGCTAGATTCTTCTCCACCTGAATTCGGCAGGACGCAAAATACTTAACGCTACTCGTTTAAAATCTATATCCTATTAGGTTAGCTGGAAAAATCGGAACATGAGAAATCCACCGATTTTGCGAAATATAAGCACTCGAGAAGTTATTCAGTTTTGTAGTTGTACGAGATTAGGGCGACTAAAGGGCGG